CCCGCAATCTTTCTTGGTCTCCTCATGTCGTCGAAACATTTCACAAAGTCAGAAAACTCAACTTTTACATTATTCGTTTGAAGATGCTATCTACCCCAACTCACTTAATAAAGCATTTTGTTTTATCCTGTATCCTTCCCCACTGGCATTATGCACCCGCTGTTATTTTTCCGGGTGTTCTAATCAAAGACTTCAAACTCATACGCACATCCATCAAACACGTATGTGGATACAGCGGCATATGCCGTGAGTATGTTGTGCAGTTTATCATTTCACAGCACCTCAGGGCATGCCAGAAACTTTCTACCAGAATACTACTTGACCCATCTCACCCACTGTACCCGCACCTTAGTCAATGTATCTCCACATCTAGCACTCGTTCCATGTATAAACATTTGGCTTCTATAATACCGTACTTGGCACGGTTTCTTACCAACGCCGATCTTGTCATTGAGACTCTTAGACAAAATCTTTACTAAATTGGCTTTTTGTTTATCTAATGTATCATCATACGTTTTGTTACCATGTAATTTCCAAAGAAGAGTGATTGTGTAGTAGCTGAATTTTCATCCCTTATGGGGAGAATTAAAGCCGCTTCTTGAAAAAAAAATCAAGACACCTAAACACCCTCAGGTTAAAGAAAGCTGAATTCTACCAGGTGCGTTCCCGGGTTGTGGATAGGGGAATACCTTCATCGAATAGGATTAGCTGTGAATAAGTTGTGGCATACCGCAACAAATAAGCAGTCGCGAACAAACAGCGGCGGCATAACCAGGGTGTGGTGGGTTTCAGACTGGTCACTTGGCACCTGTTCAAAAGCTGCATAAGCCCAATGACGGTGTCGTGACAAAGGTCGATGTGATTGGCCTTTTAAAACTAAAGTCATTGACCCCCTCGCTTCCGGGGCGAGGACTTACTTCCTGCTGGCTTGCAGTTCGCATTTGGTTGTGCAAAGGCTAGAGGTGCACCCTCAAGATAAAAAAGCCGAGTGACGCTGGGAACGTCTCTCGTACCAAACTCCCAAGGAACTCCATGATCTTAATCGTGATCCTGTCTGGAGCCGGCTCATCCTTTCAAAGGAGTCAGCCGCAGTAAAGCAAAGTAAGTAAGTTCTCAAATGGCAGAAGTAGATCTCCCCGTTTTGCATGATGGATTTAACAAACGTAATCACTGAAAACGTCAAATCGGCTAGTGAAAAAGCAATAGCAATTAAATTGTTCATATCGGTGAACACGAAAGGCTATTCATTCGTGTTTTGTTTTGTGGCCACTTTCCGGTAAACAAATTGATCCAGTTCTTTCACTTTTGATTACTCAACTCAGTAGTCTATCTATTTGCTTTTACAATGTGTTTACTGGTAATAATCAAACTTGTAGCTATGGTAAAATAATGAACTACCAGTTTGTGCACAAAATTTTCATTCATGGAGAATGGACTCACTAAATCCGAATAATCGCTATTATCTCTTGATTCAAAAGGCATCCACTATACTATCTCTGATTTTGGGATTGAAAGTCACATTTTTATGCGTTACAATCTTCAGCTCTTTACTATTGAGCATATTTGTGAATGAGTGAATCCACATAAGATTAACACCCCTCAATATTTTTTTAAGTCCCGTGTTCACCTTTTTAGAAGCACCAGGCACTGTTGATGATCTTGGGTGTGGTTTTCACTCCTAAGGAGGCCGTTGAATGCAGTCGAATGCGAGAGAACATTTTGTGATGACCGACACAGGATACCAACAGTGTCTGGTGAACGTGAAACCGTGCTGACCTTGTAGCTTGGGAGTGAAGGTTTTGACTAGCGATCCGTGGGTTCGATTCCTGATAGGAACACAAAATTACATATTGCTGGCGAGTCCCAAACAGAACAAGCCAGCTGTTCCGTGCTATTTGCCGATTATCACAGATATTTTCAGCATGTTATTTCAGCGGGAAAATAGTCAAATACCATCAGATAGACGTAGGAATCTTTCAAGAGCTTAAGGAGCACAACCTCATGTATATTATCGTGCATTATGTCTCATGCCAGAATTAACGGATCGCGGAAATGCTCCCGGATGAGCAGTTTCAGAGGAAAAGGAAGTGAGGTAAAATACTCCAGAGTTTTACATTACAAGTTTTGAATCAAAACTTGTTGAGTCGCACACTTCATTTGTAATTTGACGTACACCATCCGCTTTGGAGATTCAATATTATCTGTTTGCAAAATTATATAAGATTGTAGTGAAATAAATTTATGGAAAATAGCAAATATGACCTGTACTATCATTCGCCATAACAGTTATTTTACCAAAATACCGAATGAGAGGTAGGATAAAGATTCTACACCTCAGTCAGGAAAATCCTTTAAAAGGCCCTTTTGATCAGGTAATCTGTGTGTTGTGTTACTCGATTTCCACTTTTTTGGGATGGATGAGTAGAGCATAGGTGATATCACCTATCATTCATCACTCCTTTGAGGTCGATTACATGGTAAACGCAGTCAGAGCTTTTTTATTATTTGTGCATCAATTTGATTGGTATTGAATTTACTCCTGTCCAGTGTTGTAAGTAAGTTACATGTTTTAGACCGATGAGAGTAGATGAGAAGCTTTTCTTATTACAATATGCGCGCTCCATCAATCTTGCTTGAGTTGGTCTGTTCGCTACACAGAAGAAGCCCTTGTGAGCAGCATTTCGTAAACTCATTGATAAACGAAGCAAAAATGGTCAAATTCCATTTGAGAAGGTATATCCAATTGCGGATTATAGACAGAGGGAGAGAGAGTGGAACAAACTTACCACGGTGAAGAGGGCCATAAATCGAATTATGTCAGAAATCATTCGGGCCAGAGAGATTTGCAACGGTCCGAGCAGTTCCCAAGCGGGCATTAAATGGCTGATACGGGCAAACGATAACACGTTTCCCAGGGCAAACAAGCAATCGGACACGTATTCTGGATCATCGGGAGCCCACCATAAACGACCTTGTTTAAGAAAAGGAAAAACGCACGGGGGAGGAAGCGGTGATGCACATGTCTGGGTTTTATTCAAGAAGTACACGAATTAGAATGAACAGTAAATAATAAAATAAACTATTCCATTAACTTCAAATGGGAACATGCAGCCTGGCACTCCGGACATGCGCTCACAAAAGATACAACTGTAGGATGGCCGACAAAGAGTAATTTACAAGTGCCTCATTAACAGCGGATGATAGTATTGTCTCTGGGGATGGAAATCGAGAAGAACATTTTCAGGACAGAAGTCCAAATCCTCCTCTAAATTCAGGAAGTCAAAAGAATATTAGTTAGCTTATTAAATATACAGGTAACGACCAAACGCATGCAACATTTTGATTTGTTCCTCTCAATGCTTGGTTTTTTCAGCCTCATCCACGGGATTGAATATGAAATTGCTCAACATCAGATGTAACATGTCTGAGATAATACCCACTTATGTCTTTGATTCCATTAACCACATCCCGTCAACCTGCACAATTTCGCGATTTTGACGATAGTTACTAGTCCATCAGTTGCAAAACGACAAAGTCGCAGCGGAAAACGTAACAAAAATTCATTTACTAAAGTGACTCATGGACTTCATGCAGGTATTGTACTTTCATCTCGCCCATGTTTCATTTGCCCTTGAGCAATAGAGGCAGTCGCTTTAGAATGGATTTCACCAAGTTGACTACCAAACGAAGTTTGCCAGTTTCCTCTAATACACCTTACACCCTTACCACTGACGACTAACGTCGAGGCAGCTGACTTATCCCTGTTTCTGATACAAAGAAAATTAAAAGCTCATCTGCTACGCGGTAATTGAATGAATGTGACATTGAAATGTAACTTTTGAACTACTACGAATTTTATCGCAACACTCGAGGTCGCTGAAACTCAAACGGTGACAGAAGAGAACAAAGAACATAAATGTGGGAGATCAAATCAGAAATAACTAAACTTTACCCATAGCCATCAATATACAAGTATGATATAGTAGACTGAAATGTATTTCCAAAATGAGAGTGATGTTGCGCGAGTTTGATCAACACTTGTATATATAACGAAGGTATATGATAGTCCTAACACCTTTTCAAGAAGGGTAAGTAATATTCTTTACTTGAAAATCCGTATGTTTTCCTCAGGTTAGGTGAATGAAGTTCACGAATAAAACTCCTGTGTGTGGATGTGCAAAGAGCAGGAGACGGCACACAGAAACTTTCCAGGTTCACTTAGGCGAACCGCTTTGAAACGAACAGTGCGGTTGCTCCCATCGAAGTTGATACCCATCATTGATCAAGTTGGGTTGCATATCTGCGGATGGAAGGTGCTGCTATTAGTCATACTAGACAGACTTCAGAATAGACGAGATGCCGAATGAATCTTCAGATCAGTAGCGTTCGTTGTTGCAGTTCATCCAGATATAAACTTCTTGTTCTTCTCATTAGGACTTTTTATTCTCAAATGATTGATGCTTTCAAGTTTCATTGAAGGGAGTTGGCACGCATATACATAAACGAGGGGAAAAGCATTATGAACTTTCATCCAGGCCAAAATTATAATTGATCTGCCATCCATATGAATTTTGGAAACAAGACAACTGATGTGGCCACACATAGTCCAATAGATGCGGTAAATTGCGTTCAACGGGCACAAATGATTAGCCGGAAATAGTTTTTGTCTGATAAACTAAAATGAAACTAATGTTACTCCCTCTCTCTCTCCATTCGTGGTTTTAAAACATTCCTTTACTGTCGGCGGTTTCCATAGTCAGGTAGTCTATCACATACACACAGTCCGCAGATCGTCAGTTTTCCAAATAATGTTGGGGTTAATGGCGGTAGTAAACCATTTGGATCGATTCGGTGATCGGGTAATTATCCATCCACGGTGAAATGTTCGTGATTATCCATATTTTAGTTTGTCCTATGCTTTGGAGTCAATTTAATTTGTATGCTTTCGTATTTGACTGAGTCAAACAATTTTTGTGTGTATCCATTGCAGGAAAGTTTTATGTTTTCGATTAAAAGAAGTACATCAGGAAATGAGTGTTTGGATTAGCCTCAAAGAGAAGAAGACTGAGAAAAATAACGAGAACAACACAACCAGTTCTACTCTTAATTCTGATGTTGCGAATTTGAAGCAACCGGTTAAAAGAAGTACAAATATTGTACAAGCAGTTAATGAGAATCACGTAGCATGTATTTCTTTTTGTTTAGCAGTAAGTGAGTCATTCATTCATTAAAATGTTCACTCAATAAGTCAGTCGGTCAGTTAGTCAGTCAGTCGGTCAGTCAGTCAGTCAGTCAGTCAGTCAGTCAGTCAGTCAGTCAGTCAGTCAGTCATTTTTTTGTCTGTCTGTCTGTAAGCGGTGTTTTGTGTTGTGTGTCTGGTCATTTACCACCAAAGTTTTATTTCTTTTCCCCTAAGCGAATTGTTCCATGTATGAGTTATGTACATTCGGGATTTCTAACGTAGACCATATAAATCACGCGTACACGACTGTTTTTGAATAAAATTATTAGCTGAATGATTTAATGGATTAAGGGTCTTCAGAACTAATCAATATTTGGCGCTAAATGTAATTGAAATGTTTCAAATGTTGCGTGAAATTTTACAGTTAATTCACGGTCATATGTTTACCAATGTGAAGTATTTAAAAAACCTTTCTTCACATTGAACTGCCGTAAAACTTGATACTGAAGACCACATCGCATGTGGGAAATTGACTTGAAAACGTCCATCCAATTAGTAATCACCCGAAGGATAACAACAAAAACTAAATCTCAAGCTTTAAGGAAAATCGAACTAATAGGATTCACTGTGACTTTCCCTAGAGCTTATTACCAAGTAAAGTTCAACTTTCTTTTTATTTGGATACATTTACCGTCTGTTGCCCAAATGAATATCGTTCGATTTTGGAACTTATCACTTCCGTTTCGTAGGTGCTTACAATTCGACGTATTGTTTGGCTTTTGTGAGCTGACCATCTGCTTCCGAGCGGCAATTTGATATCAGATCTTACATTTCTTCTCGCGCGATTTGTACAGCACTATTCCCGTTCATACCGCCAACACTCTTAATGAATGACTGTACCTGTAGATAAATTCCGGTGTGGGTATTCTCTGTACACTTTCCTGAGTGGATATATACATTCATATAATGTATTTGCATTTAGATTGCTGTGAATAGAACAGGAATTACAATTCAGTCAAACAGCTGACCGTGAAAAAAAACCCGTGACTACCACCGGGACAAACGAATCACAAAAAGCAAATGAAGAGAAACAACAAAGAATCGCCAGAAAAATGATTTTCAGTCGCTAGGGTTATTTTTAGGAAATTCTACTGTAATGTCCCCACCTCCCGCTGCTGAGGTGTCAAAGGTCAATGTACACTCATAAACAAACGGACAAATCGGTAATGAGATCGGAATGCTAGGGACGCGCAGGTAAATCATGATACAATTGAAGGATGGTGTCAATGTGAACCTTATTTGCAAACCTTTCACTCGCCTCAATGTGATTATTTCATGACAGTTAAATGATGGCGTTTATGGGATGAGAGAGGGAGCGGGACACGAATTATGACGGATCAACCGTGGTTTAGCATTGAGAAGTCTTTCTTGCGGAAACCGGGCAATAAAACGAGGGAACAGTAAGGGAAGATTAGAAGAGCCCATTGATGTATAAAAGAAATTATGACGATTTCCTTAGGTGAAGACTAAGTCAACCAGTTCGAAGGGGAAGTAATTGACGTTTTTGATGTATCCCTAAATGTGGGAAGATCCATGTAGATTGATACTTCTTGTGAAACTGGGGTTGCTCACTGTCCTAACTTTTAAGTTGAGGGCAGAGTTCTATAGTAGGGAGTCATCCGTTTGATGAAATAGCGAACTAATTAAATACTTTCGCGAAGCTCAGATGTGCCGAGATACGGACAAAAAAGAGTAAAATGGCTATGGATATGAAAAATCTTCTGAGAAACTGAAGTGCGATGATCATTTGATAAAGCACTGGGCCTTTGGCAGGACCAAGGAGTTTAGTCTGGCGTATGAACTACTCAATCTCTGAAGTGTGTGATGAAAACTTAAAGAAATAAAACAGAGCTCTGATAACCACCAGAGTTGTTCAATATGAGTTCTAAAATCCTTTTATCAACCTCGGTAAGCTGAGTTCCGTTGATAAAAAGACCTATCAACCATTTTATCAAAGACAGAGCACAACGGACAGATTTTAGTTTTTATAGTGAGAGAGATCCGGTAACGTAATCAAAAGCAGAGCAGAAGTAAGGCACAAGATGGCAAGAAAATCTCACAGAACTATCAAAAAATGTCGCATTCAAATTGAAAATGTAAGCGATCTCATCCAGACCACCTGTGAGTGTCTTTGCTTTTGGTGAAATGACCCTAGTTTTTGGGGTCAGTAATGAAAGAACTTGAGTGGCTCAGGATAGTCCGTTAAGTTACCTTTACACCGAAAAAGGTAACGTTGAGAAGTCACGAACGATCAGGAGGAACCTTATTTGATAGTTCTTTCTTACAGGGGCCACATTTATAGGCTTCCATGAAAGGGGGATAACAGTGGCCTTAAAAGTTGTGCTGACAGGTAAGGTTATTGTTTACGTAAACCATTGGGCTTCACTTTCAAAAAGAGACGGAGAAAATTCATCAAGGCTCACAATAGCAGTTCATTTGGTGGCTTCGACAAGCGCAAAGCATAGAAAACGGTTATATATCGGATGGATTCGAGACTGTGAAGAATGGTAGCGCATTAATTAAAGGATTAGTACCAACGGCCTTTAGGCTGACAGGATCAGGCATAATGTTTGGATTGCACAGGAATTCCGGGCGAGAGAACTTTGTTCTTGTAGCGTCCTAAATTTCAGCGGGTAGAAGCTTTGTGCAAGCTCCTAATCTCAAACTTTACTGATGCTCAGCCACGCCTCTTGTAGGCATTTTCTCCTCGTCATTTCAGAGATTCTAAT